AATCATGATCTAGTTGAATCTGGAAATGAAGTAGAATTACATGATTTTGTGACCTTGCTCTTTGCATTAGACTCCTTGAATTCTGAACCAACTACCTTTGAAGATGCAATTAACTATGCTGAATCTGCTCTTTGGAAGGAAGCCATGAAAGATGAAATGGATTCTTTGATTAAAAATAAAATTTGGATTTTAGTTGATAAACCTAAAAACCAAAAGGCAGTTGATTGTAAGTAGATTTTTGAGATAAAAGAAGGAGAATCTAATGCAAACAATAGAAAGGTACAAAATAAGACTTGTAACTAAAGGGTTTTCCCAAAGAGAGTAAATTGATTATAATGAAATATTTTCCCCAGTTACAAAATACACTTCAATTAGAATATTGCTTGCTTTAACTGCTCATTCTAATTGGGAATTGGATCAGCTTAATGTAAAAACTGTATTTCTTAATGGTGATCTTGGTAAAGAAATTTTTATGTGTCGACCAAAACATTTGAAGTAAATTTAAAATCTGAAAAGGTATGTCTGTTAAAGAAGTCTCTTTATGGCTTGAAACAAGCCCCAAGACAATGGTACAAGAAATTTAACTCATATGTTCAAGGTTTGGGTTTTGTTAAGAGCAATTTTGATTCGTGTTTCTTTTACAAAGGACCGTAGGACCTATATCTGTTTATTTGCTAGTATATGTTGATGACATGTTGCTTGCTTGTCATGATAGATCTGAAATAGACTTAATTAAGTCAAAATTGAAATCTGAATTTGAAATGAAAGATCTAAGACAAACTCAAAGAGTTCTTGGGATGGAGATTAAAAGGAATATGAATAATTGCATTCCTTATTTGTATCAATGATCTTATGTGATTAAAATACTTGAAATGTTTGCCATGCTTGAATATAAATATGTTTCATTGTCTATTGCTAATCATTTTAAATTCTCAAATGAACAATCACCTAAAACTAATGATGAGCTTGAAAAAATGAAAAGAATACCTTATTCTAATACTATAAGGTCTAGTATGTATCTTATGGTGTGTACTAAACCTGATTTAGCTCATGGCAAACCTAGTTGGAATACATTGTGACCTATTAAATGGATGCTAAGATATTTGAAAAGTTCATCTAAATTAGGTTTGAAATTTGAAAGATGTAAAGAAGGCATAATTTTTGAAGGTTACACTGATTCTGATTTTACTGGAGATTTAGATAAAAAAGGATCAACTTCATCCTATATTTTTAGTTTGTGTGATTGATGTGTTACTTGGAAATCTCAACTGCAAAAACTTGTAGATTTGTCTTCCACAGAGGCAGAATATATTGTTGCATGTGATGCTGTTAAAGATGGCATTTGGTTAAGGGGATTGAAAAATGAAATTGGTTTCAAAAATGAAAAGGTTAGGATTTATACTAATAATCATAGTACTATTGTATATTATGATCGAACAAAACATGTTTATATAAGGTTTCACTTTGCGAGGAACATAGTTGAGAAAAATCTGATTGGTCTTGTAAAAATTACTACTAAATACAACCTTTCTGATCTTGGAAACAAATTTAAAAACTACTTGAAGATTCTAAATATCACTTGAAAGGCAGTGAATTTAGAATGTCAAGTTGTATTGTTTTCTGATCATTTTTACTAACTTTATTTATTTTCTTCTTTATAGGTAAATAAGAGCAAATGAAACGAGTTGATTTATGGGTTCACTAGTTAATACCAAGAATAGTTCGGCAAAGTGGAGATTATTGATGTTGGGCTGCCTCACTATTATTGGTATTGGGCCATTATGTTTTATGTTGGGCTGTTGGAATTGGGCTTCTGGGTTGTGATAAATTGTGCATTATACGTTGTCTTTTCTAAACTGTTGGATTTGAGTGATTCTTTGGTGATCTTTTAATTCAAAAAGGTGTATCCATTTGGTGTGGGCTTTAAAGAGTGTTATGTGTATTTCTAGGGTTTTCTCTCTGTTTTCTGTACTATTTCTTCTTCGTTATTCAATCTCTGTACTTTCGTGTGAATGATTTTTGATTGTATTTAATGTGCATATTGAGAGATTGTAAGAAGTATAGTTTGTTATAGTGCAGAGAAGCGAGAGAAAAACACGGCAAAGAAATTTTTGATTTCTTCATACATTTGTACATATTCTTGGTTAATTCTAATAAATTTGGAGTATAATTGATGCAGGGGAAGATTATAGGAAAGAAATCTCACAAAAAGAATTTCAACCATGACAAATTCAGGAAAAAACTTTATTTAATTCAAAATTGAGCTGCCTCAAAGGGCTTACAACGTTTAAATAGCGAAACCCTAAAAAAATTCGGAAAGAAATTACCTAATAATAAAAAATATTATTTTTTTCCAAAAATGGAAAAAATTGAGATAATGACGGATCTTGAGTCTCCTAATCATCAGGATCATTCCCAACAAACGGAAATCAAATCCGAATTTATTTGACTAAGATATTGCCAAAATAAAAATTACCATAAACAGCAAAAACGCTTAATTGAAGGCCTAAACGATGGAATTTGCCCAAAATTTGACATGTATCAGGCCAAAGGCCCTGAGTTGTGATCATTGGCCCGTTTCCAATCAAATTAGATTAGCAATTCGTCAAAAATGAACAAACCCGAAATTAAATGAAATTATTATTTTTCCTTCATTATTCTCCACGGGTTGAGAAAAATTCGTTCTCGAATTTGACTGGGTAGAAACCTCACCATCATCAGAATTATCACTACGAAATAGCGGCTCTGGCAGCAATCCATCGGAAGCTCTTCCGGGATTCCTCTAGCAATGACTGAATCCTACGAGTGATCTCCTGCTCACTGTCAACTGACTTTTCCACCTGCACATATACTATCCCATATCCTTCTATATTTGTCTCGAACTTCACTCTGGTCAGTAAATTGGCGTCATCCACAACTGTTTTTACTGAACCCTTATTTGGAAGCAACACACTTTTCTTTTTCCCAATAGTACACGTAGATTGGAAGAGATTAGTACGCAACCAGTCAATGTTATTTTCCAGGGAAGTCAGAAAACTCCACCTCACCACCATTGTCTGACCCACATCACGAACCCCAAACTCCTCCTTCTCTGCTGCCTCTTCTACACCTTCACTGTCAAATACAAGCAAACCGTAATAATCAAACGCTTCCTCCTCTGTTGCTTCTTCAGTATCTTCATTGTCAAATACATGCGGACATTCATAATCAAACTCTTTCTCCTCTGTTGCTTCTTCAATATCTTCATTGTCAAATATAGGCGGACCTTCATAATCAAACTCTTCCTCCTCTGTTACTTCTTCAATGTCCCCATTGTCAAATACAGGCAGTTCGTCATAATAAAACTCTTCCTCCTCTATTGTTTATTCAATGTCTTCAATTGTGACATCTTGAATATTATGATCACGGTGTTGGACTTCCTCAATCGGAACTACCCACGACGACCACGACCTCTAGGCGCATGTTGCTGCGGCATAAGTGCAGCAACTTGTTGTGTCAGCAACTCCACTTGTTGACGCAACTGTGCAATTTTATCACGTCTATGTATCTCCTCTACTAGGGTTTCACAGGCTTCTTGACGTCTACTTGACGGCATGGTGAAGGAACGACTTCGGCTCTGATACCAACTGATGCAAGGGAAGATTATAGGAAAGATAAAAAAACTTACAAAAAGAATTTCAATCATGAGAAATTCAAGGAAAAACTTTATTCCCTTCAAAACTGAGCTGCCTCAAAGGGCTTACAACGTTTAAATAGCGAAATCCTAAGAAAATTCGGAAAGAAATTACCTAATAATAAAAAATATTATTTTTTTTTCAAAAATGGAAAAAATTGAGACAATGACGGATCTTGATTCTCCTAATCATCAAGATCATCCCCAATAAACGGTAATCAAATCCGAGTTTATTTGACTAAGATATTGCCAAAAGAAAAATTACCAAAAACAGCAAAAACGCTTAATTGAAGGCCTAAACGATGGAATTTGCCCAAAATTTGACGTGTATTAGGGCCAAATGCCCCGAGTAGTGATCATTGGCCCGTTTCCAATCAAATTAGACTAGCAATTCGTCAAAAACGAACAAACCCGAAATTAAATGCAATTATTATTTTGCCTTCACCAATAATCTATTTTGTAAATGCTCAACGTGATTAAGCCTATTGGCTGAAAATCCGGGCCCTAGTGGCGAAAAATCCTTGCATTCTAGACCTTTTTATTTTCTTTGATTCATATTCTTGCAAATAGTTTTTGTTAAATCTGCTAGCTTAACTGTCTTGGGACCAACACAAGATAAATAACAGAATGTAAAGATCAAAACAATAAAATTGCTGCTTAAAGAGAAAGATCATACCGAAGGAAACAATAAGAGAACATAGCAGTGGTTGAAAAGTTGTGGATCCCATAAAATGTGTCGTTAAAATTAATTGTCGATTTTGACTTGAAATTTTAATTGAATTTTAATCCAAACCAAACTAGAGGGAATGAAGAAACCATAATTCTAACAAAAAATTAAAACAAATGTTGTACCTCAAAACAGAATTATGGGGAGGAACTTTGATCATTTGATCTTGTAGAAACACAGCTTACCACATTGAACCTTCTAAAAACAAATTCCGCAAGGACTTTTGATAGAGTAACCATTCCCCCTTTGGAGCTGCTGTTTATCAAAATATCAGTAGCAAAAATAAATATTATATGATATAAACACAAATTTTGCGCAAAATCTTTCTTATATACCAACAGTAGGATTGTGCAAGCTAAGGTACACAGTCTCGTATACAGAACGTGAAATTGTACAAGAAATTGACAAAAATGAAATGAGAAAATTGATTGAGAAGCTTGAATTAAATTAGCTAAGAAAGATTGAAACACCAACAAATATTTTCCAAATTTCTACAGACGTTTTTCTGGGATAAACCAGTGAAAAGGATATATATATCTTTTCTACATAACACGTCTTAAAACAATACAAATGTTGAATTCAAACAATGTCCAATTTCACTTAACGAAGGTTAATCAGATTAAACAGTATCGTATTCAGCGCCAGTAGATCAATGCACGTGAGATCACCAGCCATGGCCTGCAAGAAGGTGTAAACAGATCAATGAAAAAGAAGAATTTAAGAACTCCTTAAATAGAATATGAGGTGGGAATGAATCAAGACAATCAATATACGTGGTTTGATCATAAAGAACCCCTGGATAGGAGGCAAGTAATTTTTATAAATCAAGCTTCAAATTACCCAATGCACACCACTTGTCCTAACTCCAATAGATATGTCAAAATAACAGAACTTAAAGATGAAAAGAATAAAATTGCTTCTCAGAGAGAGAGATCATAGCGAAGGAAACAATAAGAGAACGTAAAATATATCTAGGAATGAAGAAACAATAATTCTAACAACAAACTAAACAAATGCTGTACCTCAATTCTATGGAGGAACCTTTGATCATTTGTTCTTGTAGAAACAGAGCTTACCACATTGAGCCTCCTCAAAACCAATTCCACAAGCACTCTTGATAGAGGAACCGTTCCCTCTTTAGAGCTGCTGTTTATCAAAATCTCGAACCCCTCTCGGCAGGGACTCACTGTCACACAATTAGTTAATAAATTACTGTTCGAACTTCCATCTTCACCACAAATGGAGCCTGAAGTATACAATTTCTTTAGCTTGTCTCTCCTCAAGCTCAGTTCTTTGATATTTTTCTGCATATCTTTTATGTAATTCACAGCCTCGAACATGTGATCAGACACTGCACGCTTCCCCTACATTTGGCAGTGAGGATTTGGTAGATATTTACCATTTTAAGAAATAAAAATAAATAAAAATCTAGTTAATAATATTGTCAACCGCTGCCTACCAAACAGTTAGAATATATGATATAGATATACATTCACCTTGATATATTCAAGAGGAAGAAGTGATCGAAGTGAAGCATACAGCTTTTTCATTTCTTGCCTTCTTTGCCTTTCAAAATCTCTATGCAGAACTTTCCTGCTCTTGTTTTCAGCACTAACCCCATCCAGCTCCTTTCCTTGATTACCTGAAAAGGGTTTTCTTTTCATCTTTTTTGAACATGTAGGAATGGTAAGATTATAATTGTCCATCCCTGGTAAATCTTTATCTACAAGCAGATCTTCAAGAATTCCCAAGTCTTGATCGAAAACTGAAGGGTCCTGAAACGACAGATCATCGTTTTGTTGTAAAGGAAACTCGCTCATGGTATAATTTTGAAGGTTTTCTTGATGATATTCACCGTGATCTTTTAATAAAAAAATTCAAGCGCTGTATACCTTTCTGTATTCAAAACTTAAATAGAGGAGCACCACTCTAGTTAGACCACCAGTAAAATAAATAAATGCAATCACCAAATTAGGGTACAGTAACTGTATTTAATTAGTTATTGGTGCGATTTGACCTAATTTATGTTTTTAATCGGTGATGATTAAATTAAAAAATGACAGCTTGAACCTAGGAATCGGAATAATTTCAGACCTTGGTGGTGATTTTTATATTTATCTGATATCTGAAAATGGAAAACCCAAGAAAAAGTGTTTGCCCAAATGGGATCAATTTTCAAATATTATCTGTGAGTGGAATCAGTTGATCCTGCCGTTACTGTCAGAGTAATTGAGACGCGAAAGATTAATTAGTATACAGTAAGATTAAAAAAATGAAAATTTCCATCTTCTCCAACAAAGATAACAGTTACGTTTGATTATTTTAGTGACATAATAATGTAGGAAATCTTATACACAAATAGCAGAAAAATGCAAATCTATTGTTGTCTGAAACTTGGCCTATATATATATATTTTATTTCTTCTTTCTTGATTTCTTGAATACTTGATGAAGATCTTCTTGCCTCTTGTAGGTATGTACCAGTAAGATTAATTAGAAAAATCATATATAGTTTATAGATAATTAGAAATGTACGAAATGACCCCATCATCACCATTTTTAGAAGAGATATATCGCAAACATGCTCATCTGTTTCCAAAAGGGAACTTTCTGAGAGGGCCCTACTTTTTTAGAAAAAATTATTGCAACCTGTCTTTCTTCATCCCAAAATAATGGAGTTTAATCTTCAACAGTCTAGTTTTTGCTAAACAGTGTAGAATGGACAAATCATCTCTCTAAATTTAAAGGCAAAAACAGGCTTATGAACGAAAAGCTCGTCCTCTGTTCTTGAAAGTTTGAATTTAAGAGGGGTTTCTTATCTGGCCAAAAACGTAGGGATTATATTCGTCAATTTTTGTGGCATTTTTCAAAATTTGTCTGGCATTAGGATTTTGTTATGAAACGGATCGCAAGATAATGACGACAATGTGCTTAGTCCTCTCGGAAAACATCTGATCCTTAGTCAAGAAAATTGAACTCTGACTATCACAGAATAATGTAGATATCTGCAAATCTTCACTGATTTCACTAGTCAATCTTCTCAACCACATAGCCTCCTTATATGCCTCTGTAATGATGATGTATTTTGCTTCTGTTGTATATAAAGTCACTGTAGTTTGTAAAATAGCTTTCCAGCTGAAAGCACAGTCGCCAAGAGTAAACACATACCCTGTAAGTGATTTCCTCTTATGAAGATCCCCTGCATAATTTGAATCCACATAACCGACGACTCAATCTGAATTTCTACCAAAATGTAAACAAGCATTTGAAGAGCCCCTCATGTATTTGAAGATCCACTGTACTGCTTTTCAATGTTCCTTCCCAGGATTAGCCATGTATTTGCTAAATGCACTAACTGCATGTATCAAATCAGGTCTTGTACAAACCATAGTATACATGATCGAATCAATTGCACAGGAGTAAGGACCGAGACATATAATCAATGTCTTCATCTCACTGAGGATACAAGTTAGATGATAGTTTGAAGTGGGTAGCTAAAGGAGTACGACAGCCTTAACTTTTATCATATTGAATCTTTCAAGCACATTTTCAATGTACCATTTCTAACTCAAATACAATCTGCCAGCCTTTCTATCCCTTAAGATCTCCATTCCAAGAATCTTCTTTATTGTACCCAAGTCCTTCATGTCAAACTCCTTACTGGGTTTTAATTACTTTATCATTGACTGCTATGAGCATATCATCAACATATAATAACAAATATGTAGTTGATCCACCACTTTTCTTTCTGAAATACACACAACTATCATAATTACATCTATCAAAATCATGAATAGTCATGAATGAATCAAACCTCTTATACCACTGTTTCAGTGACTGCTTTAATCCATACAATGATTTCTTCAACAAGCACAAAAAGTGTTCCTTCTCTGAAGCTATGAACCCATCTGGTTGTTGTATATAGATGCTCTCCTTAAGTTTTCCATGTAAGAATAATGTATTGACATTCATTTGCTCAAGTTCCAAATCATTCTTAACTACCACTCCAAGTAAATTCAAAATAAAACTATGCTTCACAACTAGTGAGAACACATCTGTAAAATAAACACCAGAAATCTGACTGTAGCCTCTTGCCACCAATCTAGCCTTGTATTTAGCAACTTCAATCCCTAATGTTCCTTCCTTTTTTTTGAACACTCATTTACAACGAACCACTCTTTTTCCTTTAGGTAAATTCAGTAAGTCCCAAGTGTTATTTTCGCTCAATAACTTCATCTCCTCCTGCATAGCAATCATCCATTTACTAGAATCAATACAACTGAATGCATCTGAATATGTAGTAGGCTCCTCAGTGGAATCAATGTCTTTAGCCACACTCAATACATAAGCTACCAAATCTGCTTCTCCATACTTTTGTGGAGGTCTAATCTGTTTGCGAGGTCTATCCTTAGCAATAAAATACCTTGGTACTAGTGATGTAGGCAAAGTAGGCAGGATATTACAGTCTGTCAATCCTGAACCGAACTCATCTGTAGTAAACTGCTCTACAACCTCTAATTGTTTCTCTGAACTAATTTTCAACTCTACCTGAGTTGAATGATTCTGCTCCTCAACTTTATCAGAATCCCCAAGAGGTGAGCCACGAACCATAGTAAGTTCATCAAATACTACATACCTACTAACAACCACGTTTCTAGTCTCTCGACACCACAACTTATATCCCTTCACACCAGATATATACCCAAGAAAAATGCACTATCTAGACCTAGACTCCAACTTTCCATTGTCATAATATTCTAGACCTAGGCTCCAACTTTCCATTGTCATAATGAGTATAAGCTGAACACCCAAAAATTTTCAAATCAGAATAGCAAGAAGGTTTACCAAATCATATGTCTTTTGGTGTCTTTTTATCAATGGCAATTGATCAAAGCGATTAACCAGAAAACAAACTGTAGTAGCAGCTTCAGCCCAAAAAGACTTAGGCAACCCAGAATTTGAAAGCATACAACAAACCTTTTCCATCAAGGTCATGTTAATCCATTCTGCCACAGCATTTTGTTGAGGAGTTCCAGGCACTGTCAAATGTCTCAAGATGCCTTCAGCCCTGCAGAAACTATTGAATTCATTTGAGCAAAATTCCAACCCATTATCAGTGCATAGACATCTCACTTGCTTTTCGATTTGCTTCTGTACCAATGTTTTCTACTCATTGAAGAATACACAAACTTTCCTGGAGAAGTCATCAATTACTGTCAACAAGTAATAATGGCTACCTTTAAATAGTACCAAGGCTGGTCCTCAAAGATTCGAATGAATATATTCAAGCGTTCACTTCGTGTTGTGTCCTCCTTTAGTGAATCTGATTCTCTTCTGTTTCCCAAAGACACAATGCTCACAAAATTCTATTTTGCTGGTCTTCTGCCCATTAAGAAGTCCCCTTTTACAGAGCTCCGCCATTCCCATTCTCACTCATATGCCCAAACCTCATATGCCAAAGTTTTGTAACTTCATTATCTTTCAAAGAAAAAGTAGAAACTGCTGCATCCCCAATCACTGTGGAATCGTGCAAAATGTACAGTTATATAAAGTTTTTATGCCCCTTCATAACAACAAAAGTACCCTTGCTCACCTTCAAAACTACACCTTCACCGATGTATCTGTAGTCCTTTAAGTCAAGTGTACTCAAAGATTTGAGATTCCACTACAGTTCTGGGACATGTCTTACATTTGTTAGTGTTCTGACAACTCCATCGAACATCCTGATTCTGATTGTACCAACTCTAGCAATCTTACAAGGCACGTTGTTTTCCATAATCACAGCACCTCTCGAAACCTCTTCATATGTAGAAAATCAGTCCTTGTTAGGACACATATGAAAAGTACAAGTTGAGTCAAGAACCCATTCATCTCTAGATTTAGTATATCCATCAAAATTACAAGAAGCTCTCCACCACTTTGCTCATCCTCCACAACATTGGCCTCCGCTGTATTAATATGTTGCTTCCCTTTCTCCGTAGCACCAGCAACTTTATTTCTATTTTTCAAGGCAAAGCAACCAGCTCTAATATATCCCTTCTTCTTGCAGTAATGACATGTCTTCTCAACATATCTAGACTTCGATCTGCCCCTAATATTTCTACCAAGATTCCTATCTTAATTTCTCCCACGCACAACCAAGCATTCAGCATGATTTTTAGATCTTCCAGCAAGATGCCTCATCTTCTCCTTAGATAGTAAAGTATCATAGACCTCTTCCACTGTGAGAGTGTCTCAAATATAGAGAATAGTATCCCTAAAAGTCACATATGATGGTGGTAGTGAACACAACAACATCAAAGTCAAATCTTCCTCGTCATGCTTAACTTCCAATGTCTCCAAATCAGCCACGATTTTTTTGAACATCATTAAGTGATCATCCAATGACATACCTTCAGACATCCGATGAGAATACAAGCGTTGTTTCAAGTGTAGCTTACTGGTCAAGCTCTTTGTCATGTAAAGTCGCTCCAACTTCAACCACAATGTAGTTGAATTCTTCTCCTTAAGAACATCTTAAAGAATTTGATTCGAGAGATGTAGATGAATTTGAGATTGGATTTTTCGATTCCTACTTCACTTTTCATCCAGTGTCCAGGTAGCAGGCATTCTATCAAAGCCAAGCAATGCTTCCTCCAAATCCATCTGTGCCAATACCACTCGCCTCTTCACTTGCCATAATGTGAATCTCGTGTTTCTATCCAACAACGGAATGTCATGCTTCATTGTCGCTATACGGAACAATTAACCTTGCACTCTGATGTCACTTGTTATGAAAAGGATCGCAAGATAATAACAATAATGAAATAAAGAAGAAGAAA